AGGATTTCTTCAGTGTTTCATCTATAGACAGCAGCCTCACAATGATATCAACCGGCTCTCTCAGTATCCTCAAATGCATCCCATCTGGTCGAATAGACTTTTTGGGGTCAAGATTTCTCAGCAATTTCTGACACAACTGTTTACCATTGTTAGTGGTTCCTCTTTCTTTGAAACATATCTGCAGACACAAAACCCTGGAAGATCTTGTTGGTGATGATACTTCATAATCAAGTATCTCTGTCATTCCTTCACGCACTGTTACCATATCACAGGAGGCCATAAGCACATACATTACCCATATACAATCTGTTACTGTTTATGGACTTATAGAAGTTCTTTCATTTGGCTTTACTCTCCTTGCCCACTGCAACTTCAGCAAAGCTTTGGCTTTCCTAGCAGAAACACTGCATGCCCTGACAGCAATTCTTTAGTTTCCTTTGCAGACAATTCTCACTTTCATCTCCAGTACATATGAGTAAGAAGTACACAGTAAAAGTATTAGATCAAAATATTCTACCATATATTATTAATGTATGGAAAAACATATCAAATAATTCTTTTATAGCAACTATGGATTCAGATAGAAAAGAAAAGCCTCTATTTAAAGTTTTTTAAAAGTTTTTCATGGAATTACACATAAAGTTAACTTTGGCTATTCTGCACCACAGAACTATGGAAGAACTTCAGGAAATCAATCTTGCATACTCAGTGTGTCAATATTTATTCAGATGCTAAAAAAAACGTTATGATGCCTTAACCTACGTACTTTTATACGTTTAGCCTAGGTTACTTTCAAAGAACTTGTACTGCATGATCTGAAATGATCTCAGTATAACTTGAGCATGTCTATTGAGCATGTTGTGCCTAGATGTCAAGATCACAGTGAGTATGCAGAAATTTAAGCAAGTGCAGACACTTGTAAAAAAAAAACAAAAACTATTCCATCCTGTTATAACAAATGGGAAAAAAAAACCACTAAACAACTCAGATAATTATTCCTCAAGAAGTTCTGTGCATTTATGCTATGGTGAACAATGGCATTGGTGGACAAGGGAAAGGCAACCGATGTCATTTACCTGGTCTTGAGCAAGGCCTTTGACATCCTTATCTCCAAATTGGAGGGATGTGGATTTGATGGGTGGACCACTCGACGGATAAGAAATTGGTCAAAAAGCCGCAGACAGAGGGTGGTCATTAATGGCTCTATGTCCAGGTGGAGGCCAGTAACAAGCGGCGTCCCCCAGGAGTCTGCCTTAGGACCAGTGCTCTTTAACATCTTTATCAGTGACATCGATAATGGAATCGAGTGCACCCTCAGCAAGTTTGCTGATGACACCAAGCTAAGGGGTGTGGATGACAGGGTGGAAGGAAGGGATGCCATTCAGAGGGACCTTGACAGGCTTGAAAGATTGGCCCGGGTGAACCTGATGAGGTTCAACACGGCAAATTGCAAGGTTTTGCACTTGGGCTGAAGGAATCCCAGGCATCCATACAGACTGGAAGGAGCGGTCCTTGAGAGCAGCCCTGCAGAGAAGGACGTGGGGATTTTGATAGATGAAAAGCTTAACATGAGCCAGCAGTGTGCTCTTGCAGCTTGGAAAGCAAATGGTATCCTGGGCTCCATCAGAAGAAGGGTAGCCAGCAGGGACAGGGAGGTGATTGTCCCTCTCTACTCTGCTCTTGTAAGACCCCATCTGGAGTACTGTGTCCAGGTCTGGAGCCCCCAGTACAAGAAAGACAGAGAGCTGTTGGAGAGGGTCCAGAGGAGGGCCACAAAGATGATCAGGGGACTGGAGCACCTCCCCTGTGAAGATAGGCTGAGGGAGCTGGGCTTGTTCAGACTGGAGAAAAGGCTGTGCAATGACCTCATTGCAGCATTTCAATACCTAAAGGGAGCCTACAAACAGGAAGGGAATCAACTCTTTGGAAGGGTAGATAACTGCAGGACGAGGGGAAATGGTTTTAAGTTGAGGGAGGGAAGATTTAGGTTGGACGTCAGGGGGAAGTTCTTTACAGAGAGAGTGGTGAGGTGCTGGAAAAAGCTGCCCAGATAGGTTGTGGATGCCCTTTCCCTACAGGTGTTCAAGGCCAGGTTTGATTGGGGTCCTGGGCAGCCTGGTCTAGTATTAGGCGGGAAGGTTGGTGGCCCTGCATGTGGCAGGGGAGTTGGAGATTCATGAACCTTGAGGTCTCTTCCAACCCTGGCCATTCTGTGATTCTGTGATGAAGCAAGTAATTTCTTACATATACACAGTATATATCTGAAGCTTCATGAGATTATTTTTATTACCTATGGTGACATTAACTTTATCTATGAATATGCAATCTGTATACAAGAAAATATAAGGAATGTAGTAGTAACTATATTTCTACTCCTTTATTATATACGTGGATACTCATCTTTTTATGTTGGTGGCTTATAAACCAAAAGAAAAGGACATTACTTAGTTTAGCCGCACGTTATTGGTCTATTAGGAGTAAAATACATAAGAGAAACAGTTAAATTCAAGTGATTAAACTACATTTCTTCCTCAGTTCAGTTATTCTAGTTATTATATATTATTAGTTATTCATATTGCTGTTTAATAGCACATCTGTGTTAAGCATGCAATTGAAACTGTACTCTACTTGCATGCTGTGTTTTGCAAACAAGAAGCAATGATAATTATTAAAAGCCAGTAACTAGAAATGTGTAGCATCTGAGCTCCACCTACAGGATAAGAACAAACATAAAACCAGTTTTAATTCGCCAAAGTAAAAGAGCACTATATACTATGAAGCCTTCAGCTGATCTGCTCAAGACACTAAGTTTTTAAAACTTCATGTAATGTTATATGTATGTCTTTTCATGTACACAGCTGTTCTGTATTTTCAAGTTTAAGTTCAATCTCTCTATAAAAACAACAGGTATTTGGAATTTCTCTAATGAATTGCCAGAATGAACAAGATCTTTTTTTCCTAAAGTTTTTTATCTAGTATAAAATTGGAAAGTGTCTTCAAATTAATTTTTTATGTAAACAAAAGTCTCAAAAGGATGTTGAAATTACTAAAACTAGCATCACCATCTGAGCACCCCAAGAACAATTGCATTTGAAGAAAAGTTGTGGATCTCAATACCATGAATTTGAGAAGGTGTCTATTATTTCCATATTGTTTCTCTAAAACAGATGTGCAAACTTCTGATTTCACAAAAGGATTTAGGTGAAAAACAGGATGATTAATGAGAATGAATAAAGATTTGTAAAACAAGTCGTGCATGTTAAAATTCATTACTCAGAAAAAAAATACTTTTAGAAATTCTCTTATTCTATTAGCACATTTAAGTATCTGACGTGATGAACAACACCTGATAGATATGAGAATTTTCTTGTCCCCCTGATATTTCACTAGACATGCCTCTCCAAGATAAGAAGGGTGGATCTAACCTTTTGTTTGATAGTCACACCTCATCTATTTTCCCTGTCAGCAAACACTTGGACAATAGTGGCTGGTGAAGTCCCTGAGAATATTATCAATCATCCCCACTATACTTACAAAAAGGCCACCACTCTAGACAAGAAAACTCGTTAACCGGCTGATTATCTCATCAAAGCCAATGTTACTAGCACCTTATTTATATCAAACAACTCACACTTTTGATTTTCATACAGGATGCCTTACCGTTGGGAAAATAACAGATTCTAGAAACTGGTCTTACTTGCAGTACTAAGCAGTGTCTCCCAGGGCTATTGTTCTCAATCACTAAGAAAGCATCCAATAAAACTCACTTTGAAGACAAGATAGTCCATTTCGCTATAATAATACTACAATTTCCCTGAAAGAGTGGAATAATCACAGACACAACACACTGTACTTGCATAGGAAGAGCCAGCAGCTTACAGACTGTTTGTACAAATATCTATGAAATCTGAAAAAATATAATGCAAGCACTCCTAAGGGCATGCTCAATCTTTATGTCAACCTCATGCTGAGAACCTGCAACTATATGTTAGACAAGTTTGGATCTAGTAGCCATTGCTGCAAAACCCAACAAGTAGTTAAGCAGATTTGTTGGCAGGCCACTGAACAGATAGGTGAATCTTATAATCATTAAGGTTGGAAAGACCACTAAGATCCTCTAGTCCAACCATCAGTCCATGCCTGCGACCACTCTACATCATGTCCTTCAGTGCAACATCTACTCTTTTCTGAAAACCTCCTGGGATGGTGACTCAACCACCTTCCTAGGCAGCCTGTTACATCACCACTTTTTCAGAAAAGAAATTTTACCTAATATCCGCCCTGAACCTAACCTGGTATAACTTAAAGCTATTATTTCTCATCCTATCACAAGTTCCCCAAGAAAAATGGCTAAATGCCACTTCACCACAACTTCAGGTAGTTGTAGACAGAAATAAGGTACCCCCTGAGCCTCCTCTTCTCCAAACTAAATAATCCCAGTTTTCTCAGCTGCTCCTCTTGTGCTCCAAACCCCTCACCATCTTTATTGCCCTTCTCTGGACATGCTCCCAGGCCTTACTGTCTTTCTTGTAGAGAGAGGTGCAAAACTGAACGCTGTACTCATGATGTTGATGGCATCTGTTGATGGCACTGGCATCACCAGTGCTGTACAGAGCACGTGAAGAGCACAATGTCTTTTGCTACTCTAGAGATGTTTGGCTTCCATGTACTTAAAGACCCTTTTTCAGAAAAAGCTTTACTTGGATGTCTCCTTTATTTCTGACCCCTCCCTTCCATTCTATGATAAGGACATTTAACAATCTTTTTTTGTCCAGTCCAGAGGTATTCTCTCCCATTTTTCTCAATAAATAGATTCAAGTTTAAACTACAAAATGAAATTACGAACTGAGAAACCAACAGAAAGTTTCATCTTTCATAGTCGAGGGAGGCTGACAAGTTTAATGCAATACTAAAACAAAAATACAGTAAATACAAAACTGGAATTGAACAGCAAATAACTGAAAATAAGTTGAAGGAGAAAAATAATGTATGATACTTACCTGCGACTGGTGGTTTTCTTTTCCATCTTAGTTTCTTCCTCTTGAAGTTGCAGTTTAGCAGTTTCATTTGTATCCATTTTCAACTTTTTTGCAATGCGTTCTTTCATCTGAAATCTCTCATTGCTAGCAGCTTCACCTTCTACACTGTCAACATCTTCATCATTCTCATCTTCCTCCTTTATTAATAGGACATGAAAAAAAAAATCCTTAGCTTTTTCTACTTTTTAACTACAGAGTCTTGAATACGGAAACTTTTTCTTACAAAGACAATTCTTTACCACAACAGACAAAGAAACTAACAAGCAAAAATCCACAATTTTTAAATTTACTTTTAAAAATTTTTAAAATTACTTCAAAGAATAATTTCAAGAATGTCTCTGTAGCATTTAAAAAACAGAAACAGTTAGACTTTAAGTCCTTAAAGGAATGCAGAAGGTCTCATGGCAATATGCTATCAGTTTGATTATTACTTATGGATCTGAAAGTTGATCAAGGCAATATACTAAACACTTCATTAATTTTCCCTTAAAAGAAAACCAGAAATGCAGAAGGCCAACTGTATCAACTGATGGGTGGCCAGCAAAGAGAGGGAGGTGACTGTTCCTCTTTTGCTCTGCTCTCATGAGGTCCCACCTGCCATATGCACATATGCAGGATGGGCAGAGAATGGCTTGAAAGTAGCTCTGAGGAGAAGGATCTGGGGGTACTGGTTGATGAAAGATTCAACATGAGCTGGCAATGGGCACTTGCAGCCCAGAAGGCCAACAGTATCCTGCACTGCATCAAGAGAAGTGTGACCAGCAGGTCAAGGGAGGAGATTCTGCACCTCTACTCTGCTCTTGTGAGACCACAGCTGGTGTACTGCACCAGTTCTGAGGTCCCCACCACAAGAAGGACATGGAGCTGTTGGAGTGGGTCCAGAGAAGGGCTATGAAGATGATCAGAGGGCTGGAGCACCTCCGCTGTGACAACAGGCTGAGAGAGTTGGAGCTTTTCAGCCTGGAGAAGAGAATGCTATGAGAAGACTTTACAGAGGGCTTCCAGTACTTCAAGGGGGGCTAAAGAAAAGTTGGAGAGGGATTTTTTATAAGGCATGTAGTGACAGGATGAAGGTAAGTGGCTTAAAACAGGAAGAGGGTAGATTTAGACTAGATACTAAGAAGAAATTCTTTACTGTGAGGGTGGTGAGACAGGCTGCCCAGCAAAACTGTGAATGCCCCTTCCCCGAAAGCATCCAAGGCCAGGCTGGATGGGGCTCTGAGCAACTTGGTCTAGAGGGAGGTGTCCCTGCCTATAGTAGGGGGTTAGAATGAGATGATCTTAAAGGCCCCTTCCAAGCCAAACCATTCTATGATTCTACAAAATGACCAGGCTTGCTGTGTCAAAATACAGCATGACAGTCAATCAGCAGAGAATCACAGCTTAAGCAAGAATGTGATCATGCACCTGGCTTGAACAAAGGCAGAATCTGAGTTTATGTCCAAGAAGCTGAGCACATACTGCGTTTTGCAAAAGAGGTAACAGCACATACGATGGAAATAAGCTGTTTTCTTTTTGTTTAGGTGCGAGGATGAGGGAGACTGCATCTGTCCTTCACTCTCACTGAGTACCAGCTAACAGATGATAGGTACTGACCTATGCATAGCAGACACATATGAAAAACAAAGTACTTATGAGGATTCAATTTATGGAACACAGGATTATTCATGTTTTGAGAGCAACTCAAAGATCTACCCCATCATCCAAGGCTATAGGTAAATATGCACTTCAACTTGCAATTTTATTCTGTAATATCAATAAAAATGTCCTTGTTTATAAAATATCATCCATGTTTGGATATCCAACTTATTACTGCTTGCTTACTTAAATTTCCCACATTTCAGAGGTGACAGTCTTTATCAATGCTATTTTTAGTGATACATATTCATTGAAATCTTGTTTCCTTGAAGAAATCTTTCCAACAGCTATCTCACTCATACACGGTCTTCCCTTCAGAGATTAGTGTTTTATCTTCATTCATGATAAATTTCATCTTAATTCCTTTTCCATCCCTGAAGCAATTTCAGGGCTTCTATTACTGGTTTGTGACTCTGTAGTACTCAACGTCAATATATACCTCATTTACTGACTGAAATATCTGCTAAGTTTTCATAAAATGCAGTAGGTAGCATGCAGCAGCAACTTCACCCTGACACAAAAGCTCACAACTGCCAACCCTCAGAGCTCTGAAAGAGTTACTGGTTTTTGCTGGAAATCTGACTTGAGCTAGCTTTAAAAATCCTCAAAAGCGGCATTTGTTTGCCATAGGAAAATGTTAAATCACGTACAATAAGGAAAAAAAGACTTATTTGTAAAAATAAATAATAATTTAAAAAATTACCTACCTCACTTGAATAGCTCTCTTCATTTGCTGCATCACTAAAAAACAACAATAATTAATACTTTGAAATAGCAGAGAAGACTTAAAATACTGTTTAAAACACATTCTTTAATACACATTCTTTAATACAAATTTTAACTAATTGAAATTTTAATCAACTTAGTCGTTTATACCATCCTCACATTCATTCTAACATTACCAATTAATAGTATTTTCTGTCACTTGTCATCATCTTCTAATAAAAAGTTTAAAATCATAGGATAAAACTGCCATCTGCCACAGACACATTCTATTACTAACCATATTCAGACAAAATGCTGAGGTATACAGTTGCTTCAAAGGTGAGGAACTATACTAATTATTACAGTTATCTTTAAAATTTAAGTCAAAACATCAATTGATCAAGAAAATATGATTAGGCAAGTGAATAGAATACTATACAATAGCCCTGGAAATCAATCTGGACCAATAAATAACCAATTAATGGACACAATCTTACAAGCATAAGCAAAAATTCCAAGTAACAGTACAATAATTTAGTCTGACAATATGCATAAACAAGCATGTCATGTTTTCTGACTACTGTTTGCACTGTACTGCTGAAAAGAAAAAGAAACAACAAAAGTCACTCTTAAGATAGTTGATTTTTATCTCATTTATACATTCCTGGTATTTCATGGCAAATATTCTGTATTTAAGAAAGCCTTTTTTATATAGGTGTGTTTTATTTCCATTATACTGACATGTGAATTTAACATCAAAAACTTTCTGTGAAAGTAATTCTTTCTTAATAGAACTTAAAAAAAAATCATCTGAAAGTATTAAAGAAAATATTTTGAATCAATACAATTCTGTAATTCTGACATCAGTACCGAACAAGCAGACGCACAGTATGAGGTAATATGTGGGTTTTGTGGCAGTAAAGGGAACTGTCTTATTAACCTCTGGCAGTGTTGTACAGGAGCTACATGTGGCTGTGGATGAGCTGTCTGCTTTATTACATTTGCACTCACACATTGTCTAACCAAATGTTTTTAAGGAAACTAAGTAGCTCTGAGATGATAGAGAAGGCCTCTGCACTAATGAATTAAAGGTTATAAGACAGGAAACAAAAGTCAGGAACAAATCGACACTTCATGCAGTGAAGATTACTAATTTATTTCCACAGTAGCATGCTGGGTCTTGAGTTGTTCATCAAACTCCATAACAAAGCAGGCAAGCAACTACACCGCTGATTTTTTTAGTAATACCACATGATGCAGAACAGTACAGACAAGAGCAGACTAATGAATAGCAGAAGAACAAGAAAGATAAGACAATAAAATGTGAGATGTAATTTGAAGTGCATAAATGTAAAGTTATGCACAAGTGTAAAAAGAACTCCACAAACAGGACAAGGAGCTTGAAGTTGACCAGCACTAATCATGAATTCTTTGAATATCGTGCTGAGATAATTCCATTAAAAATGTATAAACAATGGCTTAAAAAGCAAATCAGAAGTTAAGAAGTATTAAGAAAATAAACAGAGGACAAACTGTAGACCGTCTTTATGCAAGTATATAGTCTTGTCTTTAAATGTCATCTTTGTTTAGTTTTAAATAAAAAAATAGCAAAATGATATTTCAGAACAGAAATTACGTCAGAAACGAGAATAACTATAAATACTGAACTCCTGTGTGAAGAAAACTTGAGAAGGTTTTAAGGATTCCAGATGGAAAAGAAATGGCCTAAGAAGGGAATGTAGTAAAAACAGGTTTATAAGGACTGGCTGCTCACTGTCTCTTCCAAACAAGAATTAGAAATTACCAAACAAGTCCAGTAGCATGATGCTTCAGAAAAAAAAACAAAACACAAAACAAACAGAGAAAAAAGAAAACAACAACAAAAAAGGAGATACTTCCTTCTGCAAATGTAGGATAGGAAGATGCAAATATAAAAAAACATTACAGGAGGTCACTGCATAAATACTTCGAAGAGAGCCCATGTAAGGGTTACTAATTAGACAAACCATATCAAAATCTGTCTGTTCCTTGAGCTGAAAGTAGTTGGAGGTTGTAAGGCTGTTCAAGAAAACGATACATTTGCCCTATTTTTCATCCTTCTTGGGCACCCATTGCTGGATGCCCACTGCTTGCAATTGCATAGTGGGTTAGAGGAACATTTGGTCCAATCCAGCAAAACATTTCTCACTTTCTTAAAGAGTGACAGACATAAAATGAGTATTGCATCAAGTCTACCATCTTGAAAGTAGATCTGCTCTGGAATGTGGAAAACATGTATTAACCTTTTGACAGCAGGAACTGAGCTCAAATGTGGATCATCCTTCAGTAGATCATGACTACTTTTACTCTTTCCCTTCATGCTCTGTTAAAAAAAGAAAAAAAGGGTTACAAATTTCAGCGTTTGAGAGAAAAAGGCAATGGTAAGTAAAAAATTATTTATTTCCAGTTAGTTTTAGCCTAAACAGTGAGCATAAACTCTTCTAATTACAGAAGAACATAATTCTTGTAGGAAGACAGTAACAGTGTGGATAATAAAATCTCCTTCTGATTTATAAACACCTTCCTTATGTATTATATTTGACACTGTCTTCTGTGACATTCCCCTAGAGAAGCTGGCAACTTGGGGCGTGAGTAGATACACTCTTTGCTGGGTAAAAAACTGGCTGGATGGCCACTCCCAAAGAGTGGTGGTGAAACAAGTTAAATCCAGCTAGCAACTCGTCATGAACGGTGTTCCCCAGGGGTTGGTATTGCAGCCCCTGACCTGAAGAAGAGGATTGAGTGTACCCTCAGTAAGTGTGCAGATGACACCAAGCTGGGAGAAAGTGTTGATCTGCCTGATCCTATTCAAAGGCCCTTCAGAGGGATCTGGACAGGCTGGACAGCTCGGCTGAGGCAAATGCGATAAAGTTCAACAGGATCAAGGCTGGGTCCTGCACTGTGGCCACAGCAACCTTAAGCAGTCATACAGACCTGGGCAGAGTGGCTGGAAGACTGTGTGGAAGGTTGTGGACCTGGGGGTATTGGTCAATGCTCAGCTAAACATGAGCCAGAAGTGTGCGCAGGTAGCCAAAAAAGCCAATGGCATTCTGGCTTGTATAAGAAATAGTGCTGTCAGCAGAAGCAGGGAAGTGATCATCACTCTGTAGTCAGCACTGGTGAGGCCTCACCTCAAGTACTGTGTTCAGTTTTGTGCTTCTCACTACAAGAAAAACATGGAAGCCCTGGAGGATGTCCAGAGAAGATCAACAGAGGGGTCTGAAGTCTTATGAAGAGAGGCTGAAGGAACTGCAACGGTTAAGTTTTGAGAAGAGTGGGCTCAGGAGATCTTGCATCTCTCTACAACTACCTGAAAGGAGGTTGTAGTGAGGTAGGGGTCAGCCTCTTCTCCCACATAACTAGCAATGGGATTAGAGGGAATGGTTTCAAGTTGCATCAGGAGAGATTCAAGTTGGATGTTAACAAAAATTTTATTTTCTGAAAGTGTGGTGAGGCACTGGAGGTGCCAGTCACTGTCACTGGAGATGTTCAAGAAACATGTGAAAGTTATACTAAGGGACTTGGTTTAGTGGGGAAATATTGATGGTATGACGATGATTGGAAAGGTTGATCTTGGAGGTCTTTTCCAACCTGGCAATTCCATGATTCTGTGAAACATGACAAGCACTTAGCACCTTCTGCTCCAAACAAGTACAGACAATTAAATGTGCAGTTTGGAGAGTGAAAGCTTCAGCCTAAACACTAGGTGACAAACAGTGGGGGCCACACTGTCAGATCCCTAAGCACACTGATATACTTCAGTGGCCTTGAGGAGCCTTACTGGGACCTGCTCTGCCTATGAGCACCATTTCCACTCAGGCCTGTGAATCCAGACACTGCCTGAATTTTAACAGATGTATACTCAAGTCTAGCATTCTGGATGGACTCCTTGGACAGACACTGTAGCTTTGTTTAATTAGTTACTTTCAGACTTTCCTAAATTGGCAATATTATCACATTTGGCAATGCCAAAAAATATTAACAGAACAATTTCACAGCATGGCAAAACCGAAACTGAGCTTGTCATGAAAGAGATGTTTTATCTAGATCATTTTAAAATGAAGAGCAAGTATTTGGGGTAAAAGAGAAGGACACAGCAAACAAGCAATACTGAAAAATAGACACATATGGCAGAATGTCAGACAAACATGCTCTTAAGAAATGCAAGCATAGTTAGTTGGACAGATTAAGTCAAAACAAGGAAGCATGAGAGTTAAAATACTGTGATAAACCTCTATTACTAACCTAACTGGCACCATCTTACTGTAACACTGTGCATTACTGTACTCACTGTTGTCCTCTGTACTTTACTGTAGGGTTGAGGATAATTTTTATTACGACAGCACTGAACTCAGCATAATGTAGTCTCATCACTAACAGAAATAGGTACCTGAACTGTACAAATAAGTTATAATGTCTGGAGCTCTCGAGAAATAATCTGATCAATAGTAGAAATGTGGATGGCAATTTGCAAATTTTTAAAGTAATTTGGCAAAGTCCATTCAGGGGATATTAGATTAAAGAATACCTATACCATGCAAGTTCTGTGAATTTGGACAATTTTGTAAAAATTGTAAATTTTTCTTTTTTTTAACTGTTTTAAATTAGTTACAATAACATGCTAATTTTTTCCACAATAACACTGCCTTATTCTCTGTACAAAAGAAAATCACATAAGAAAATAGAGTTAAGAATTCCCTGGTAATGAAGAAGTTGACATATTTCAACTCTCAAGTTTTTTACTACCAGATTACATCCTTGTAATTAAGGAAGTGAAAAAGAAAAAAGTACCTATTACCTTGTTAGACAGCAGGAATAGCTTTACACCATGAAAAATGGAACCATTTTTATATTTCTATAAACACTATCATGCAGTAACTGAAGGCACCTTTTAAACTAGAAAAATTCAAGGTTTCTTTTTCTAGAAATTATAAAAACAAAGGTAATTTCTGGTATTATTGTTTAAAACTCAAAAGCAAAAATAATACAAAGAACTTTAAAATCTGTCATTAGCATGTAAAAAAGATAATTTTAAGTTGAAAATAAAAATGAGGATGATTTGGTATAATACCTGACTAACTCTGTTGACTTCCTCCTCTTCTTCTTCAGCTTCTTCCCCAAACGAAAGCAAGTTAAAATTTCTTTAAGAGAAAAAACACATTTCCTATTAAAACTTTAATTTTAATTAACATTTGATAAGCTTCAAACATGCAACTTCCATTTTGTATGTAATCTTGTTTTAACTTTTTTTCCTGCTAAACATACTAATTAAACAAACTACCAGTGTTGAGGGACATTCCTATTCTATACCTGAGACAGAACAAACAGGACAATTACAAACTAAAATACTTTAAAGTCACTTTAAAGTCACAGAATTTAAAATTCTGCCTTGACTAGCTTCCATAGACTTATAAATGCCAACTGCTCTTTATTATTTTTTTTTTAATACAGCAACGCTCCAGCAGAAAACACAAAATTCTCAAGACGCAACAGTTCAGGAAAGCAGCAACCACAAATACAATTTCACAAATGTATTTGGAAGACTTAATGATCTTTAAAGATTTTTCTTCAAAATTATTTGTGCACTGTTCTAGAAACAGCTAGTTGTAATACAATCTACTTCTGTCCAACAGAACCAAAAGCATGCACAAAGTTCAGAATTCCTATTACTTCTCATAAATGTGTAAATCTACGAAATTTCATTCATAAATGAATGCATTTAAAAAGCATTCGAAATTTGAAAGCATTTTAATGGGAGACAAGTGGTAGCTGATAAACTAAATTAAAAATTTAAAAGAACTGTGCCCAAGTTACTAGCATGCATTAACTTCTGCATCATCTCAGTCACAAACGATTGCATATTCTTCTTGCCCATAGCTTACGCTACTGTATTCTCTCTCCTTTGCAAGAAACTATTGCACAAAAGAGCTGTAGCTTAGCAGATGTACAGTAACTACTGAAAACAATTAACCTCTATGATCTCTTAGCAGTTAGGGTTTTTTTGCTAACATTACAGCAAGCTCTTCTTGCATTTTGGTTAAGTCTTTGTTTCAAATAAAAAACAACCAAGCTACTATTTCAAGGTAAAAGAAAAGTAACTACTGCTCATGTTGCATGTATTTACTTTGTGCCTTTTACTTTGGGCTTCTTATCTTCTTCTTCTGATTTGTCCTTCTTCAGCTTTCTATTTGGTCTGGGAACAATATCATCAAATGGATTAAACAAAACCTATTAAAAAAAAAGAATATTTTCGTCACATCCCTAATAAGCACTGTTAATTAAATGACTCTATCTTTTAAAAACAATATATAAAAGACATGCCAAGTTTTCATACTGGATCACAGCTGTCTTAGTAACGCAAACGAAAACTGTAAGTTATAAAGAACAACATACCCACCTCACTACTTCTTATTTTATGTGGACTGAGTGGTCTTTCTTCTTTGTCAACTTCCACTTCAGCGAGCCGCAACATGTTATATATTGTGTCTCCAGTAACCTATCAAATGCACAGGAAAAGTTTGAAAGTACTTAAGTACTTCTGCAAAACACAAGGCAATTACTACATAAAGAATTTGAAAATATAAGCGATACAGGAAATACTGTAGGCATATCAAACATTTAAAAGAGAGTAAGTACAGGTTTTGGCTTTCATTTTTAAATTATCAGCAAAGTTGAAAGAACATAAGTAGCAAATTGTGCATTTCTGAGAGCAGAGGAAGATGTCAAAATTTTTCTGGGAGTTGTAAAACAGGAAAATAAGATACTGAAATACAAAAATTGTAGCTTTATTTTCTTTTGAACAAACTATGAAAGTGGCAAGTTCATCGTAGGCTTTTTATTTTCCTGACTTTCCTTGAATAATTACAGCTTACAAATAGATGTAAACAAATAAACAAATAAATAATGTTATTAGCATTAGACTAGTAAAGCAGTTATCATATTTCTAGTAGGAGATGATTTAAAAGGAAGCACAAAACTTCTTTCCAGAGGAAAAACAGTAATCAAGTAGATTATGATGGCAACAACCCATAGAAACATTTTCAAGAGACACAGACAGAATGCAGGCAGTTCAGAATGAAGTAAAATAATTTCATGCATATCTAACAAAAACAATCTTCAATAATAGAGAAACATATATATGCTTCTATGAAACTCAAACTGAGACTACTCTGTGCAGCAGACCTTTCCAAAGATCGTGTGCTTGTTATTAAGTTCATCTGCACGACCCAGTGTAAAGAAAAACTGACTGCCATTATCATGGGGTCCAGCATTTGCCATAGCAACAAGTCCTCTCCGATTAAATCGCAATCGTGAATGGAACTCATCCTGGAAAAGACAAAAAGAAGTATTTAACTACCATATATTTATATTAACGTTCACTGACAAAAAACAAACTGTTAGTTCAAATAAATTAAAAAATTCGAACATTAATAAAACCAAAGTCATTTATATCTTAGTAACAAGATTATATTTAAAACTTCTGCTCAAAACAGAAATAATTTTTTAGTCTATTTTTTCTTCTCAGTTTCTATAATAACACAAATAAGCAAACAAAATTATTTCAAAACAAAATCAAAACAGAAACGAAAACAACTAACAAAATCTGAAGAAAAAGGTTAAAAGCTACTATGCCAATAACAGAAACACAAAATACACAATAGAAGATACGCAATACACAACAGAAACATAGAAAGTCAAGATAAACTAAGATTTGCTACGTTAACTTTCCCCTTTTCTAAGTATTGCCTAATATTAATCATTATTCCTGTTGAAATTAGTGCTGTATACAACAGTAAAAGAAAAAAGAAAAAAAGAAAAAGAAAGCACTTCTTAACGTAACTTCATTACAAGTATTTCTTGTAATGCAGTCAACTAGTTAACTGCTTCATTTAGCAGAAATCCTAATTCATGTAAAATAACCAGAAGTTCAGAAGCTTTGCAATAGTACAGTATTACTCAAATCCAAAGGAAGAACATCTTCAGGACCATGAGAAGACAGAAGAGGGCATCAAATGAAGATGACAGTGATGAGTAATACACAGTATGAGTAAAACACAGTAGTATAAAACTTCTAAGTGCTTTAACACCTAAGAAAAATAATAAATTAAAGAAATGTTGTTACTACACTATTAGAAGTATTTGTTTTGATATCTGCTCAGGTAGCAACCTCTCCCACAAACTGCAGATATGCATTACATGCAGGATTTGCATTACAACTGCAGCAGGTGGACTGAAGACCCAGAAAGGTCACGCAGCTTCAGACACCAGCTAAAGATGTTTACCCTATCTGAAATACTCAACCAGAACTAGAGCACAGCTTCTGTGCATATGAAACTTCACTCAGGATATGAAGACCCTGACCAAGACATGTGGTGTGCCATTATCAATAATACTAGTGACTACATATACATTCAGAGACCTTTGACAATTCAGGTAGAACGTACATAAACAATTCACATTTCTGCTCCTCAGTTTTCCACAAAGATCCATAGAATGCTTTGGGACCTTATATACCACCCAGTTCCAAAACCCTGTCATGGGCAGGTTAACTCTCACTAGACTGGGTTGTACAAAGCCCCATCTAAGCCTTAGGCACTCAATAGGGATGACGCATCCACAGCTTTTCCAGGCCATCTGTTTCACTGCCTCACCACTTTCTGAGTTAAGAGGTTTTTTTTAATGTCTAATCTAAATCTACTGTACAAAATATTCCTTTCTTCTTTCACTCCCAGACAAAGAGTCTTTCTTCAGCTTTCCTGTAGGTCCCCTTTAGGTACTGGAAGGCCTCTGTATTGCCTCTGCAGATTCCTCTCTTCTCCAAGCTGAACAAGCCCAACTCCCTTAACCATTCTTCACAGATGTGCTCCTGCCCTCTGATCACTTCTGTGGCCTCTTCTGGACCTGCTTCAACAGCCTGCTTCTTTCTTGTGCTGAGGGCCCTAGATCTGGATGAAGTAGTTCAGATGGGGCCACACAAGGACAGAACAAAGGACAATCACGTCCGTCTTTTGATACAGCCCAAGATACAGTCAGCCTTCTTGGCTGCATTTCCCCTTGTGGGCTCATGATGAGTTTCTCATCAACCAGCACTCTAAGTTCTTCTCACAGCTGCTCTCAATCCATTCTGTACTTGTGCTTAGCATTGTCCCAGCTTATGAGCAGGACCCTGCACTTGGTCTTGTTGAACTTTATGAAGTTAAAACACATAAACACGCTCTGAACAATTTTCTCTCCTATTTTTATCTTGTTGAAGTGAATGCTAATAAGGTTATACATTTATCATAGAACAGGCAGATTTAAGAATGTTCCATTCTAAAACTCATTCAAAAATGTTGAAGTACGTGCAAATTCAGAATACGAAGAAACTTTAGCATTCCTTATAGAATAAACTGCATTCCTTTTACAAAATTTGTTTACTCACAACCCAAGACAGTAGGAAGGACAACTGACAGAGACTAACGAAACATCAATATGCACAAGATACACAGATACACAGCTACATACCTTGAAGGGAGCTCCGTAGATTGAATCTCCACCTGAACCGGTACCAGTGGGATCACCTCCCTGCACTATAAAACCCGGAACTACTCTGTGAAATATTGTATTATTGTAATACTCTAAAAAAAAAAAAGAGAAAATATATTAAATACACTTAAGTTATCTAAAGATCACAGTTCCAGAGAGATTATGCAGACATATCAGTTACTGGAGTTCTATAATACAAAATCTACAACAGCATTCTGCCATTTTCACCAAGCTTCCTGATCATATACTGACTTGCTCAGCATGACTGTACCTTACCTAATCTACAAAGCATTACCAATGATATTTATGAAAAAAAAAAAAAAAAAAGAGTCTTAAGTTTCTGCCACAGAAGGTACTGCATACCACTGACAAAATTGTATTAATGAGTAGTTTTATTTTCAGGACTACCGATGATAGTACCGATACATATCACTTTAAAAGGAGAGTTAAATCTAATACACTCTGTTCCAGCCAGTACCTCACATACATAGTTATTTATATCCATACACCAAATGGTTATCATTTCCACTCAATGGCACAGAACACAGGTGTCATCCCTTTCTACTACCTACACTGCACTGTCTTTCGCTCCCTAGGTTATTTTATTACTGTTCTCTATGTATACGCACACACTCACACATATACTTCAGGTAAGCATTATGATACTGTAAGAAAATATAAGTATGAAAAATTCAACTCGACATATATTTACTTTATTTACTTTATTTTTTTCCTTTTTTTAATCTGCATTAGGCTGTAAGACAAAGCAGGATCTGACAGCACTGCAGCATAGCTCTGTATGTTCAAGGACAGTTATATTATACAGTACTCACTAGAGAAATACTAAAACACACAATACAAAGCATAGGATCCAACAGAGTAGCCATGCAAGTTCAGAAAGGAAATATGGCATAGTTTTTTAAAACCGAGGATAACTTAAGGTAATTCCCAGGGCTGAGAAGCTGACTTAACATTTAAAAAAAAAAAAATTTTGAAAATCCACATCTTCACATTATCAGTAAGAGCACAGAGTAGACCTTATACATGTCTGGGATACACAAATCCCACACTGCTATTTTTCCTTAATAGAGAGCTAAAAGAACTCTTACCAAATCTTATTAATGGTATATGAGTAGCAGCTAGGAAGCATAAATTGAGAGGGTCCTTTGCACATTGGGAAAACTACAAAAATGTAGTTTTCCCAATACAGAACTTCTCATTCTGGTACCTGTTATTTCAGCGAAAGACTTTATAGGGTTCTAGTCAATAAAACACCACAGCAAATGAAACATTAAAAGCACTCATGAAGAAATGAACAGGCAGTAATGACAGTGAAGCAGGAATGAACTTAACAGGGGATGTCCAAGCATGGCATCACTGACATTTCCTATGTTCATTAAAGCTGCTACACTTTGTAGAGACTTCCTGAAAATAAGCCTTCCTAAACATCTGACATCAACTACTACATTCAAGAAAACCACCTAAAAATTGTTGTTCTTTTCCCTTCCACTGGATTCCTTAATGACCTTCAAAAATGTTCTTGATCTGGGTAGCAGGTAATAGAAATAATTAGTTAACATATTAAAACTTACTTATGACTTATCTTTTCCAAAACTGTCACTGAAATACCACATACACACGAAATAATTCTAACAAATCCCACCCCATTTTGTTCTTACCTTCCATACAAAGCTGGATGAAATTTCGACATGCTTTTGGTGCTTCTTTAGACCACAATTCTATATCAATATCTCCTGCTGTAGTTCTCAGCAAAACCTACAAAATTTTTATAAACGCACTATTAGTTTTATTGCAACTTAGACACTAATAAACAAATATCACTATTGATTTAAAAGATACTCTTAAATTCATAACATTAACAACAGTAGTAGGTAAGTAGTAAGCAGTTAAGGCTGGTGATGAGTAGGGTCCCCCAGAGGTCCAACCTAATCAACATCTTTATCACTGACATAGACAGAGAGCTTGAGTGCACCCTCAGCAAGTTTGCTGATGACACCAAGCTGAGTGGTGCGGTTGATATGAAAGAAGTAAGGCATGTCATTCAGAGAGATGTGGACAGGCTTGTAAAGTGGACCCATGTGAGGTTCAACTAGGCCAAGCGCAAGGTGCTGCATGTGAGTTGGGGCATTCCCAGATAAATGTACAGACTGGGAGAAGAACTCCTTGACAGCAGCCCTTCTGCAAAGAATTTAGGGGTTCTGGTGGATGAAAAGCTGGACACGAGCCAGCAGTGTGCACTTGTAACCTCTAAGTCCAACTGTATTCTGGGCTGCGTCAACAGAAGAGCAGCCAGCAGGAAAAGAGGGGATTGTACCCCTCTGTTCTGCCCTCGTGAGGCCTTGCCTGGAGTACTGTGTCCAGACCTGGAGCCCCCAACAAGAGAAAGATGTGGAGTTGTTGTAGCAGGTCCAGAGGAGGGCCATGAAAATGATCAGAATGCTGCAGCATCTCTCCTATGAAGAAAGGTTGAAGGAGCTGGGCTTGTTCAGGCTGGAGAAGAGAAGGCTCCTGGGAGACCTCACTGCAGCCTTCCCATACTTGAAGGAAGGATATAAACAAGAAGGAAACCAACTTCTTACGTGAGTAGTCAGTGACAGGATAAGGGCAGATCGTTTTAAATTGAAAGAGAGCAGATTTAGGCTGGATGTGAGGGGAAAATTCTTTACTCAGAGGGTGATGAGGCACTGCCCACAGAAGCTGTGGTGCTCCATCCCTGGAGGTGTCAAGGCCAGGTTGGATGGGGCACTGGGCAGCTGAGCTGGTGGGGGGCAGCCCCGCCCATGGCTGGAGATTGGAACTGGGTGACCTCTGAAGTCTTTTCCAATCCAGATCATTCTGTGACACTATGATATCCCAGTGTAGCTTTGTCAGCACTTAAGATACAGTTCTGAAGCAATCCGGATGAAAAGACTTCAAGTCACAGTAACTAACAGAGAGTAGAATATTAAAAACTCTTTAATATTTCCACGGTGAGACAACAAAGAAAAAGAATACGCTCTATTACAAGCGACACCACTAAAGACAATGCCAATTCATAACAAAGCGGCAAACATAACACGCGGCCGAAAGCGATAAAACCAGACGCCTGCCCCTCGCCCGCGCTGCCCGCAGCGCTCCCGCCCTCCCCTCACTCGCAGCTCCTCCGAGGGCAGCGCCGCGCGGCACGGCGAGCACGGCGCCGGCTGCCCGCAGGGAGCCTCACCTTGCCGTTGGTGGGGGGCTCCTGGATGTAGATGTTGCTCATGCTGGGGAAGGGGTGTCGTGGCGGACACACGCCGTCCCAGACCAACGCGCGACAACGTTTTGCCTCTACCCGCGCTACTGCCCGCAACCCGCCGCCATCTTGGGCGCCTCTACACAGCGCAGTGGGGCGGGGGGAGGGTGTGACTGCCCCGAACAGCGAGAGGAGAAAGGAGCGCTCCAGTGACCGGGGGCTCCACGGGAATCACTGAGTGAATTCTTTGCGGAAGGACCTGAAGGCTTTTCCGGACGCCTCCGGTCCCTCCTCGTCTCCCCGGCCCGGTACTGAGGTCCCCCGTCCTCCCCGCGAGTGGCGCGGCCCGAGAGTGCTCCGGCCAAAGCCTTCCGGCGGGGAGAGCCGCCGCGGCGTTTCCGGGCCGGGCTGCGCGGAGGACGCTGTTCGCAATGGCTCTGCCGGGTGAGGAAGAGCCCCGAGGCTGCGGGGCGGCGTGCTGGGAGGGGAGCGATGGGGTCGGCGGCACCGCTCGTGGGGCGGCGGGGCCCGAGGAGCGGCTGGCGGTGCGTTTGCCAGCCTGCGGAGCTGAAGTGCCGCCGCCATGGCCGCGCCAGCAGCCGAGCGGGGCTGTGGGCTCCAGCAGCCCTGCTGCGCTCGGAATGCGGCCCTCGCCTGCAGTCCTGTGGCTGCGCGAGGGTACGGCTGGCTCCTGCCGCCTGCAGGTGGTCGCTGCCTTCCTTAGAGGTCCCAAGAGTGGCATCGTCCCGCCTTATGCCCCAGATTAACGCCTGTCTGCATCTAGGTGGTTTAAATAAAGGCTTTAAGAGCCGTGGTGCAGTCAGCGCGGGCAGAAATGGTCGTGTTATCCACCAGGTATTCAGCCCGTGTGATCCTGAGGTGTGAGGAGTGTTTGGCTGGAGAAAATTGAGTAAGCCTGAACCTTGCTATGAGTTTTACGACAGCAACGAAAACCTAACAAAAACAATTCCTTAATAAAACTGCTCTCGCTCCCATCTTATGGGATAGTTTCTGAAGGAAAAGGTCTTATGTTTGTGTTCAAAGATTTGCAAAACCTCTTTTGCAATGTTGTTGTCTACTAAATGAGTGAGGCCCTCAGTGATGTTCTCTGCTCAGTTATTTTTTCTGGAGAACCAGCAGGTGGAAAGAAGGAGAGGTGGGTGGAAAGAAATAAGCCTTTACTTGTTTGCTTTTAATTGCCTGAAACTTAATCTATTCTAAGACCCTGCTTCTAACATCATTATTTAAATCCCAAACAATAATAATTTATTATCATCTCAAGAATTTGATGGGTACGGGGACAGTAATCAAGATCGAGCAAACCTGTCTTTAAGGTTGATAGCCATTAACTTCTTCAGGCACTATCAGCAGGCCCTAGCAAGATTCCATTCTCAGCTGGGATTTTGCTGCTTTGTAAAGGTTTCTTTTATAATTTTTTTTCCCATATTTTTCAGTCACACACTTTTTGTGTCTTAATTGGTGCTCATTTCTCTGCTGTTTCTCTTAAAAACTGCATTGTCTTTACAGAAATCTACATCTCACAAGTTGAACCTGAATAGGTAGTCCATTAAAACTGGAATTATTTTTCTGACCAGCATTTCCAAACTTAGCATAGTGCTTTACAGTGCCTTTCTTATCAAGTACTGGGTGATTATTGGAAAGCCTGACAAACTGCATTTGCACATGCAGTAGATTCTGCAGTGTGTCCTCACTTCCTTTGCATGAGCACTGAGTCCTTCTGTGCTGCACTGATTACATTGATAGAGATGGAGTTTATTGAGTATTTCAGAATGATGAAAGATGAAATCTTGCTTATGAGTCCAGATGTGAACTGAATCAGCAGATGCTATTTTGAGTATTTCTGTGATACAACATTGCAAGATAGTGGTATATATTTTTTTACTCTTTCCTTTACTTTTTTTTGATTTGTTTTTGTGTTGCCTGTCCCCTTATTTCTCATGGTTTTCTCATGGTTTAAAGATAGTTGCTTATGAAATAAACACATAAAGACTGCAGAGTTTATAAACCACTAAGAAGATAAGTAACAATGAGGTTTAGGATCTGCAGAAAACCATGGGATTTCAAGGCTCCTCTGTTTCTTCTAGTAGGATTTACTGAAGATGATACTTCTCTCAATAAATCAGAGTTTAAACTCAAGAAGCTGATGTATCCCCTTTCTGGTTCCCTAATTTCATAGTTTTCTTCTTATGTTAGGTTAATTATTTAAATAAAGGAACTAGTTGTACAGAAAACTGTGTATACAACTGTTTAATTTTCCCTATTTTTCATACTGCATAGAAAGACACTTCTTAATTTTTGAAATGCTGTTTTGCTTAGAATTATAAATTGCTTCAGCTGATTTAAAAATAGCATCTGCTTTGGTAGGCAACAGGTCTCCACATTTTGTCTTCTGAGTTCGATCACAGAATCACAGAATTGCCAGGGTCAGAAGGGACCTCAAGGATCATGAATCTCCAACTCCCTGCAACATGCAGGGCCACCAACCTTCCCTCCTAATACTAGACCAGGCTGCCCAGAGCTCCATCCAACCTGGCCTTGAACACCTCCAGGGACGGGGCATCCACAACCTCTCTGGGCAGCCTGTTCCAGTACCTCACCACTCTCTCTGTAAAGAACATCCCCTGACATCCAACCTAAATCTCCCCTCCCTCAACTTGAAACCGTTTCCCCTCGTCCTACAGCTATCAACCCTTCCAAAGAGTTAATTCCCCTCCTCTTTGTAGGCTCCCTTTATGTACTGAAATGCTGCAATGAGTTCACCCCACTGGGGTGCCAAAATTCAGAAGAGTGATCATTCTGGTCTGTCTACTGGTGTTACCAAGCCAGATTTAAAAGGAACTTATATTTAGTATCAAGTGATTGATGAAATTTTCTGTTTCAGGTGCAAATAAGGATAACATCAGAGCAGGATGCAAGAAATGTGGCTACCGTAAGTCTATATAGTAAGCAATAAGCAATATGGTAGTGCAGTGTTTTGGTTTTTTTGTTTTTTTTTTTTCAATTTATGTTGATGGGACTACTTTTGGGGGAGAAAAAAGGAAAAAAAAAAAAAAAGGATCTCCACCATTTTGCTATTCTAGTCCCTCACTGCTCTCATTGTAAAAGACTTTCTCCATATATCCTTAAATATTTTTGAAGACCTGAGGTTCTTAGCAAAAATAACCAACCCTGTATGCTGTTCCGTTTGCATGTACTAAATTTGCTGTGCGATTGCTTGAGAAACCTTGAATTTCAGGCACTGTCTTTGATGTCTGTTGTACTTATGAGGTAAGCATTTGTGTTCTTTTTGAATCTCGTTGCAAGCTTAAGCAGGGCTTTCTGCTCAAGATATGTCCAGTGTGTTTTGAAAAAAAATACAAATAAAAAATAAAATCTGCATAATCTTCTACACCGAGAGAGTATCCTCCTTCGTAAGATGTGCTTTGAGTTACGAGAGCCTGCTCTCCTCCTGAAGGCCCTATGAAGGGCTGATGCTGTGCAGGACCAGGCCCTTTCATCACAAGCTGCCTGTTGCTGCTATTATTTGCAAGAGCTAAATGCTGATTTATAGAACGGGTTTTTCATTATGTTGTGTTAGGGAAAGTACATCTGTGACTATTCTCTTGATGAATATAGATGTGTTCTAATGAAAATATTAGTTTATTAATCACTTGGTCACATTTTTAGAACAGTAGAGAAATGGGCACAGCTCCATAGTGAACTACAGTGAACTTTTAACACAGTGATTTAAGCTATATTTGTGTGTTTTATGCGGGATGAAGGAAAAAGCTTTGTTCTTTCACTGCAGACTCTGCTTCCAACAAATTTTATCAATGAATTGCCTTATGTATCCAGTCTTTCAGAGAAACAGGGATATCAATATAGATTCAGTGGTTTATTTGTAGGTGCAATGTCAGAAGCTTTCTGGAAAAGAAGGAAACTTGTGGTTAAATTGCACAGCCTACATTTTTTTCTGAAAAGTTCTGAATTCAAGGTGTACGGTATTTAATAGGGAGAAGCTGAGTTTGTTTCTATTGCTACTTGAATTCTTTCACAAACCATATCTTTAATTTGTTTTATTTTTTGTTATTCCAGTAGAAATATTCACTTGAATTCTTTCACAAACCATATCTTTAATTTGTTTTATTTTTTGTTATTCCAGTAGAAATATTCAGCTTTGAGGTGTCTAAGTTATGGTAATGATTATAACAATCTAACTTTTAGTTTGATTGTTATAATCATATAACAAATATATATCATATAAAAATACTAGTCCTGTGTTAGTACGGTCAGCATTATGTATTGATTATTAAAAATAATTTATATTTCATAAGGAAATAATGTTCTTCTATTTCACTAATGAGAAATGAAAAAAGCAGTATACAGAAGAACTTGCTATAGTTTTCCAAATATTTCATTTCGTGCTTTTAAATTGTTATTTTAAATAGTTTCTTCTGAAAGAATATGAGACCATTAAAGAAGTAAAAAGTCTTTACACTAACAAAAATATGCACTGTCAGAGTACCATTGCGCAGCCTCTCAAGGAGAAATTTGCAGTTTGTTTTCCTACCTTATTCATTAATTGCAGCCTTTCTTTCTCTTATTAAAATGGAATAATACTATTAGCTTTTCATAATATTTGCTAGTTTTTAATGCACTTCTAAATTTTTGTTTTCTTTAGCTGGTCATCTGACATTTGAATGCCGAAACTTTCTCCGTGTGGATCCTCAAAGAGATATTGTTTTAGATGTTAGCAGCACAAGCAGTGAAGACAGTGAGGAAGAGGAGTTACAGAGACTACAAGCCCTGCGTGAAAAAAAAAGTAAGTTAGATCTTCTAAAAAAGATTCAGTTAGCTATTTATTTTAGTAGTAAGTTGGACAGTGGTCTTCTGATGTGCTGGTCCTGTCATTTCATTCTTTCCTATAAATAGGACTTGTCTCTACCGTAAACAGTACATCTTTTACGTCAAATGTTCAGACTTAAGATATTTGATACACTCATGCATTTTTTATTGATTCCTTTCATTGGAAATTAACAGTTTACGCGTTTAGAACATCTCAAAACGGT